TTGTTTTGCAGGCAAAGAACTGTTGGTCATCATATACATTGCAGCAAATGTGGCATGGTCTGACAAGAATTTTGCGTAGATTTTTTTGTATATGAGGTATGGTTACTAGATATGCTTGATTATAAGATAATAAAATAGTTTTTTTTAATAAATTTACTTTATTAAGTTTAATGAATAATTTTTGAATCAAATAGATATATTGAATGCAAGAATGTAGGCTAGATCTCTATCAAGCATATAATTGTGAATTTTCTTTGTCCATATTTAATTGCTTAACCATGAATTACCCTTCATCTATTTCTTTTTCGTATTTCCTTAATCAAGATTTTTTGGGTTGTTTTTTATATTATTTTTGTAGTGGGGAGAATGTATATTTGCTTTGCAAAAAGCTCTGCACAAGTGGAGTAACAGATGCTGAGGGATCAGATCTATTTGTTGTTTTCATCTCCAATGAAAATAGATGATATGATCCAAATAAATGTAATTATCAAATAAGTGCGCCTATTGAAATCATCCCCAAACAACTCCTAATGGAACAAGAGTTTACCAAATTGTTATGAATGCACTCCAAGTTAAAGTTTGATTTGATGTTTCATATCTGATCAGCAAAGAAAAAAAAAGAATATGATTGATGGATTAGATTCAAATAATACCAGTAACGTCATATTTATGTTTCTATTTTCTGTATATTTTGCATGATGATTTGAAAGTACATTATCATCTTGCTCTTTAGTAAATTTTTGTGATAATCATTTATATAGTGTTTGGTTCATTAGAATGAAATAAAATAGTCACTCCTTAGTCTCTCTATAGAATGACTATTCTCTTATAATGGTGAATGGTAATTCCATTTGTAATGTATTTTTTCATAAATCAAATACAATAAACAATCAGACAATATAGTACAATGTATACATATAGAAAACAAGCACTCCAATTGGAATTCGACCTCCATGCGCGTAGCGTGTGGGGTCCAACTACTATTTAAAAAACACCCCTTAATTCACCTGATGTGTGACACAAAGGAAAAAATTCATATATTTGGATCGAATCTCCATGGTATCCATAGGATAGGATCCCCATTGCGATCATTACTGTAGGTTGTAGAGTTAAAGGGCTTGTTTGGTTTGCTTTTGGAAGAGTTGTTTTTGAATTTTTTTTCCAAAATTTTGTTTGGTTTATGGTTTTTCTCAAAAAATTTCCAAAATTACTTTTTCTTTCTTACACATCAATCAATCACTTTTTCTTTCTTCTCTCTCATTCTTAATCACTTTTTTTCTCACACGCATCTACTCAATTACAACAAAATATCAAATAATCCAAAACTTCATAACTCCAAAACTACTTTCAAAATATACAACCGAACAAACCAAAAAAAATTCTAAATTCTCTCCCTAATTTTTTTTTTTTTTTAAATCACTCTCTCAAAAGCAAACCAAAAACACCCTTTATCTCTGAAATCTCTACTCTTCTATCACAAAACTTTAATGCCTTTCACGAGATTAAGTTCACTATAATACCATTTCTTATGTCGTAAGCAATATTACTTGAACGAGATGGATCAATTATCTTGAATAAGATGGATCAATTATTTTATTTGTGTGTGCGTAATCCACTCAAATGAAAAACAAATTTATTTAGGACAATAATCAGTATGTTTGATTTTAGTTTTTTGAATTCAATTTTCTAAAAATTAAATTTTTTATTTTTCACTTTTTTTATTTTTAGTGAATATTTTTTAAATTTTAAGTAATTATTTTACTTTTTTAGATACACTTTACTTAGATGTATCTAAATAGTAAAATATTTGTGAAAAATATTTTAAAAAATTAATAAATACACAAAATACCAAAAATTAATATTTTTTGGTATTTACTGTATTTTTTAATTTTTTTTTTACAAATATTATACTTTTTAAGTGTATTTATGTTAGGTGCATTTAAAAATTAAAAAAACAATTTCTTAAAATATTAAAAAAATTCATTAAAACATTAAAATACAGAAAATAAAAAAGTAGAATTTTTTGAAAACTATTTTCTAAAAACCATAATCAAACAAGTTGAATAATTTTCATGGACAAAAGAGTTGCTTACAGCATCCACAATGGAATAGTGAAAAAAGTGTGTTAAAGTGTGTTATATGACAAAAAGTGATAAAAGTGGGGCAAAAAAATGTGTATTAAGATGTGTTAAGAATTTGTTAATTTTAGAGAGTGAGTGGTGGTGCAATGGATGTGTTAAGATGTGTGTTAAAAATATATATATATATATATATATATAAAAATGTGTTGGGACCCACCCTTTTGCCAACTCTACTTTCCTTTCTCTCTACTGCCAATGGCTATATTTCACTTTACCAGTGTTGCACTGCCAACGACTATATTTCACTTCGACAACGGCTATAATTTATAACAAACAGATATATATTGTATTGTCACCAACTAAATGAACAAGTTTTATATATTCAAATCAAGTGCATTTTTTTTTTTTTAATCTAATAAGTAGATTATTTGTTCTTTTATCTTCTCTTTCATTTTTCCCCATAAAAACATCAATGGCATCATCGTCTCAATTTATTCCTACCATGGAGTCTTGTTCTTCTACACATTTTAGTTCTTCAACCGACAATAATAGCTCATCCGATGGGGATCAAGAGACGGTGTCACAACATTACAATAAACGTGTTCAAAAGATGACGAATTTGTTTTTTCCGCCGCAAATGCTAACACTAATCTCAAAACCAGTTGAGAGGCAATATATAAGGCGTGATCACGAGGGAAGTGATCGACAAATATGAAGAGATTATTTTGCTGAGAATTGTACGTATCCTACACCTAACTATTTTCGTAGACGATTCCGAATGCGTCAAGAGTTGTTTCTTCGCATCTTGAATGATGTTAAAGGGTATGACAATACTTTGTACAAGAAAAGGATTGTGTTGGATAGTTGGGGTGCTCTCTTATACAAAAAATTACAACCGTAATTCGTATACTCGCCTATGGATTTTCATTAGACCATTGTGATGGGTACATAAAGATTGGTGAGACCACTGCTAATGATAGCTTGAAGCTCTTTTGTAATGTTATTATTGCCTTATATGAGGAACAATACCTCCGCTCACCTAATGAAAATGACATAAAACGTCTACTTGAAGAAAGGAAGGCGAGAGGCTTCCCAAGTACGCTTGGGTCTTTAGATTATATGCATTGGGAATGGAAGAATTATTCCACATCTTGGCATGGAACCCGTAGGGGCCATTACAATAAGCCTACCCTTATATTAGAGGCATTTGCATCAAAAGACCTATGGATTTGGCATACTTTCTTTGGTATGTCAGGTTCACACAATGATGTGAATGTCTTAGATCGTTCCCCGATATTTGACAATCTCATACATCGTAAAATGCCTCCGATTAATTACAATTTGAATGGGCATGAATATATATTAGGTTATTATTTATCTGATGGTATATATCCTCAATGGGCAACTCTAATGCAAACCATCATGCACCTAAAGATAAGAAAGGAAAAGTTGTTTGCTCAAAAGCAAGAGGCTGTTAGGAAGGATGTTAAAAGAGCATTTGGTGTGTTACAGACAAGGTGGGGTATGACATAAGGACCAGTGCGTTACTGGGAAAAAGAAGACGTTTGTAAGATAATGAAAACGTGCATCATACTACACAACATGATCTTTGAAGACGAGTGTAGAACCGACATTGAAAGTTCGAGGCCTCCGACAGATGAAACTGTATCTCCCCCAGAATATGCTCGAAACCCAACACTTTTGGTGGCACACATCTCATCTTGTCTTAAAAGAATTCAAAATAGAGGAACTAATGCAATGCTTAGAATTGATCTAATGGAACATTTGTGGAATCAATTTGGTGATGAAGATATAAATTTGTAATGACATAAAGTGTGATACAAGAGGTTGTTAGTTTAATCACACTACCTTTTAATCTTAACTTGTTGTAATACATTAGATTGTGGGATAAATCGCCTTTCATAATGTTAACTTCTTTGTCAGTTCATATATAATACATTACATTATTGGATTAATCTTAACCACAGCAGTGTCTCGTCTGTTCCTCTGGAAATTGAAAACCAAACTCAAAAGCCACAACCTATTATGTCTCAGAATCTGGAGAAAGATGAAAAGGAAGACCTAAGGTGCTTTGCTTATCTAGAAAAATAGAGAACTTTATATATGAATAAATATATAAGAGTAATCAAGAAGACCTATCTTTGTTTTATCTATATTTGGCAACTATTTACATCCATCTATTTACACCCATCTTTGTTCTTGGTGGTCATCCGCCCAGACGTCTCCTCGGATGTCCCCCTAGATGTCTCTCTGGATGTCCTCTGGATGTCTCGTGAGGCTTGGTTGTGAAGGTTGTCATCCGTGATCGTCAAGCATACAGAGCAGAGCTAAAATGAAGCTGTTCTAGGCCAAAATACCACCTTCAATTGTCCTCCCGGACGTCCAGCAGGACGACCGCCCCTTCTTGGGCCAACTTTCTTTGTTGTTGCTATGTGCTGCTGCTGTTTGGCTGTTCATTTGCTGTTGTTCATGGCTTCATTTAATAACTGTTTAAGCTTTATTTTTCACTCAAGAAGAACATTATGATGAAAACATTTTGATCGAAGTTGTTAATTGATCTCAACTCTCAATGAGTTAATGATGTTGTTTCTCATTCTATCTTCTAACCCTTCTTACTTCAATTCAATCTCTCTATCAGGGTAACTATATCAGAGCTAAATATATCAATGAGAAAAATCAACAAAAACTAAAAATCATATCAGAGCTAACAAAATTTAACCATTTCATTTCATAAGAAAGCTCAAGTTTTTCTTAAAATTAATACGTGGATGTGAAATGGTACTACAAAGTTAAAACATGATACTACAAATTTAACTTTAAATGTTACAATAGGTTATCACTAAATTCAATTACCGATCACTAATTTAAACCACTACCACTTGATCCATCGTCAAGGCCTCATTGTTTCGTATGTGCCCAAATTTCTTTATATTGTGCAATGACCCAAGCTTTTCCTTCTTCAGTAGGGATCAAATTTGGATCAGTCATCATAATCTCTTTTTCAAACCTCATCCGTTCTTGCTCACGTTTGGCTGCAATTCTCATTCGCTCTTGTTCGAGTTTAACCTCTGCCCTCCGTTGTTCTCGCTCTTGTTTAGCTTGAAGTTTCAGACGTTCTCGTTCATTTTCCATTATGACCTCTTGTCTAACAATTTCCTTTTGTTCATTTCTCAAGATATTAAATTCAGCAACAAATAAGTTTATAGCTTCTAGTTGATCGGTGTTCTTTCTATGCATATTTTTTGTTGTTTTTCGTCCAACGGGTCGAGGTAATTCATGAGCTTTTTCAGTAAAAAGAGAATCATCATCATTGTCAAGACTAATTGATCCTGTAGCTGAACTGGGTGTTGTTGCCAGAGTAGACGGATTTGAGGAATCTATAGTTTGATCAACATCCACATTGAAAGCACCTCTCTTTCTTCGACAAATTTTCTGTTTTTTTTTTCTTCTTATTCTTTTGTATGGTTAAACCATTTAGCTCTATCTTTGAGGATTATCTAACAACCATGCCACTTAAAGTAGTGATCCTGTGAGCTATAATACAATTGTTTTGCATCTCCTACCTATAAAAAATTAGAAACAAAAATCAATAGTTTTTCAATTAAATCATTTGAGTAGAAAAATGTGTAAACTATAACTTACCGAATCTTCAAGGTTATAGCCACTAATCGAAGTCCTCTCTATTGTGTGAACAAATCCAGAATATTTATTAATGTGAGATTGAATGCTGGACCTTCGATGCATCGAACCCGAGCTGATTTGATCGCTCTGATAACCCAAGAGTTGATTGAACTCATCCCGAATTCGATTCCATAACCTCGCTCTCGATTGATCTGTACCCGTAGCTGCATCTTCTGAGACATGCAACCATGCTTTTACAAAGTGCTTCATCTTCCTCTTTTGTCCTATTTTGATTTCTTTCTTTTTGTTGCACTTCACCATTTCCCTTTTTTTTTATTTTGTGTGCTGTGGATAGATGTATGTCACTTGGTGGAGGAGGTTCATGAGATTGTAATTGAGATTGCTCTGGAATAAATTTAGTAAATGGAGTCTGACAATATTGTGGATTTGAAAAGAATTGAGAAAATGCTTGAGAATCAAATTGCAATGGTGGCCGAGAGTTTTGTTGCTGATTGAATTGATTATTGAAAAATGGAGGATTCATTTTTTGGAAGTTTTGGCTGATATACAATTGAAATCCTTTTTAATGGAAGGGTTGAGAATAGGAAATGGTTAAGAATAGATACAGGTTTGCATTTTATTGAAAAAGACAAACTGTGCACAATGATAAAAAAATTGAATTAGCAAATGTCTAGTTGCAACAGTAACATTGATTCTGGGTTGTTGTTTGAAAAATATTATTATATTCAAGTGGGTCTCACAATGGCGGGCTATATTGCTAATCACAGTTAACACATAAGTTAATACCTGACACTAATGGCCGATACTAACACCCCTTAGCTGCTCCATTGCAGCACAAAACAATATTTTTAGTTGGTTAAAAATTGGCAGCTGACACTAACAAATACACTAACTCATCCATTGTGGATGCATTTAGGTCTATTTTGGAAAGTTGATTAAAAATTAATTTTTTAACTTTTTTAGATCATATCATTTCTTTATTTTTTTGCATGATTTTTTTTTAAAAAAAAAGTCAAATTTTTTTTAAAAAAAAAAAAACAACTTTCAATTTACATCCCTTAATTTCCTCATCCAACTAATCAGGGCTTGGCTGAACCAAGACACAAGTACTAAAACATAAACCATTCCAATCCATGTGTAACCATATTGAGAGAGTCAATATATACATATAATTAGAGCGGTACAAAATATCATATAATTCGTTAAAATTATATTAATTTGTATTAATTCGCACAACTCTATCCGTTAACTACGATTTAAATTTTAAACTTTATAATTCACCTTCAAAATTGTTCTGCTCTGTTATAGTTAATACATATATATTTTTCAACTTATAATGAAACATCAAAGTAAAAATAAGTGTAAAAGATATTTGATATATAAAATTTATTACAAATTAATAGTTATATATATGAAAAATATTATGTAAAATTAGTTTGTGTTATATATATTTAAATATTATAGAAATTAGTATTATATATTATACAAAAGCTTGATAATTAGTTAAAATATTTTTCAATCCGTCAATCCGTCTAAAATCATTCAAACAATACAGAAAGTCAAGTTCTTTCCAAGTCTTAGCACATAAACAAGGATATGTCAATCAATTGCTAGAAAATATATGCATTCAAATTTGCCCAAAAGTAAAATTTACATAAGAAAGAAAAAACAAAAAATCACTCAGAATGAAGTTTCAACACAAATTTTGATGAGTGGGTTTAATGCGTGTGCAGAGAAAGAGATCAATTACTTGAAAGCATAGAACGAAGGAGGTTGAACAAACATTAATCGTCTCCTCGGAACACTAATTCCCAAAATTTGAACTCCAAAAATAGCAGGAACCAAAATCTATACAAGTTGGGAGTTCAAACTCAGACTAAATCAACAGACTCCTGCGAATAATTAAACAAAAAACAATCCTCCGTAATCGTGAAGAAAAAATCTAGGGTTTTCCATAAGCATTTATCAAAGAGAACCACAAAAACATGAATTCAACTCACTGTTTTAGGGTTTCAGAGTTGAAGAGAGAGGAAAGAAAGGTCTTCGTCTTTGTAATCCGCGTAGCGAAGAGAGAGAGAGAGAGAATCGAAAGCAGTTTAGATAGTAAAAGATAGAGAGGAAAGAGTTGGGTGTGGGTGGGTCTGATCGATTCCCGGCAGAAAGTGGAGGCGTCAGTTATGACGGAGAGCGCACTACGCGTTGTTTTTTTTGTTTTTTTTAACACAAATACATATTGAAGTTATTAAGGTCTCGTTCGTAAATTATGGTGGATTTAGGTTTCCTTGTGAACAAGTTAATTTAGTAATTTTTTTGATTATTTAGTTAAAATATAAATTAAAAAAAATTAATATGTTTGAAATAATTTTTTGATTTTTTACAAAAAAATGTACAAAAAATAGAGATAAAAAAAAATCTTTAACTTTTTTATATTAATTGTTGATTTTTTAACTTTTATAATAATTTTTTGACTTTTTAATTAAACCGACTAGTCCCAAAACGAGGCCTCACTCTATCTCTACTAGGATTAGCTTTTCCTGAGACCCTATCTATCGAATTATTGTCTATAGTAATTTTGACGTGTCATGTCATGTTATTCATAAAACTAATCTTGACCCATGTGTTTTATGATTCATTTGTTTGGCACATAAGCAATGGACACATAATATTTTTAAAAAGTACTTAGGTCTCGTTTGGGAATCAATTTATTTAATAAAAAAAGTCAAAAAATTATTTAAAAAGTTAAAAAGTTAACAATTCATACCAAAAAATAAAAATAAAAAATTTCTCTCTACTTTTTGCATATATTTTCGTAAAAAGTCAAAAAATTATCCCAAGCATACTAGTTTTTTTTAGCTCATATTTTAGTCAAATAGTCAAAAAATTACTAAATTAGTCTGTTCCCAAACGAGGCCTAAGTAACGCTCGCTCTCTCTCTCACACTAAATATGAAATAATTTTTAAGATTAGGTTTTTCTTCAGTCCAACAGTTCAGAATCTGGTATTGTCTGAATCTATGGGGTTCACAAATCTAAATTTTTTCATAAATGATGTACACTGAAATTTTATAAAATGAACAGTTTAAATCATTAAAATGAAACCCATGATAGGCATCATAGGTCCCGAACAACACGTCTAGTCTAGAATATTCTAGACTGGACACAAGCCTAATTCTAATTTATAAGCATTAAGGTTTGTTTGGAAATAGGCTAATTTAGTAAAAAAGCTACTAAAAAAAATTAGAAAGTCAAAAGTTTTCATCTCATATAAAAAGAGTAATGTTAGATATTCTAAAAATTTTACTAAACTTTTTACCACATATGAGACTCGCATGGGATCCATATGGTGTGGGTTTCACACCCATATGAGACATTTAGTAGAAAATTTAGTAAAACTTTTGGGGTCCCTAACATTTTTCTATAAAAGAGTCAAAGATTCTTTTTTTTCATTTTACTTTTTATACTTTTTTGTTGTAAAAAGTCAAAAAATTCTTCCCAAACATATTGGGCATTTCTCCTCTTATTTCAAGCCAAAAAACACCAAAAAAACTACTTCCCAAACGGGTCCTAAGAGAACTAGAAATATAACAAGCCTAACAATTATAACAAGGTTAATTACACCAAGACCCTTGAGCTATTTGTCAAAACATCTCACCTCATTTATCTATGAATGTATACATTAACCTCCTCAACTATAAAATGTGTCATTTTACCATATACTATCCCTTCAAATGGAATATTTGTACAAATGCATCACTTTCATCACTTCTTACTCCTTCAGAAGAAATATTTGTATGATTTTTATAATTTAAAACATTAAAGTATACAAGTTTATTAACCAGGAAAGTAAGGTAAAATTCATTAATTGAGAGGGTAATTTATATGAAAATTGGGCTGAACTGGCTAATGGGCCGAGCTGAGTTGTTATGGGCCACAGTACTAAGAGCTGAGTAAAAAGGCCGTAAAGTTGCTCCGGCCCGAGAGAGATGTAAAGTTACTCCGGCCTGGAAGAGATGTAAAGTTACTCCGGTTCGAAAGTGACTTGGAGTTAGGCCGGTTTGAAGACGCTTTGAAATTAGACCGGTCTCAGTGTTAGCCCGGTCATGACGTATTGTGGTTAGACCGGTCAGAACCTTGCTACTCGGTAGCTCGGTCTAACCACACCATTCTTTGTACATGAGGAACCGAGATAAGGAGTAGTGAAAACGAGAACCGAACTGAAGACGGTTCGGCCTACTCTACGACTCAGCATAGCCATGATTACCTCGGTCCTGTTGGAGTTCGGCCATGGTAAAAACCATCTCACTTGGTTTAAGCAGTGAGGGGGGTGTTGTAGGATAAGCATTATCCTTCAAAAGTATGAATCTTAGGGAGACTCTGCATGGAGGAGTAGAAGTCCTACTAGGATTGTGCCACACGAAACCTATAAAAGCTCACAAGCATCACGTTTAGAGAGGTAACACACAACTTTGCTTTCTGAATACACAGAGCTTCTGTCTATTTGTCAAGCTTACTGACTTAGGCATCGGAGAGATTTCCGGCACACACCCGCCGGCTAGCTCACGTTTGTGTTTTCAGGTGATAAAGCGACGACGTACGGAGAAGCGCAGACTTGATCAACAGGATCATACGAGAATGTTTATTTCTTTCCCGTACATTAATAATTAAGAAAATTATAATGTAATTAACTCTTATAACAAATACAAAGTCATCTATCATGAAAGTTGAACTCAAAACTGCAATAAAGCAATATTACCGTTGGGCCTCAGCTCCCTATTAGTATACACCAAATGCCTTTTAGGTTTTGCCCGTTATAAAATCAAACAAAATTAAGTGCCATTTAGCATTTTTAATTTATTTTAAAAAATAAGTAATGTAATTAGCCGTTATAAAAGTGAATTCTTTTCTGCTATCACAACTCACTTTAATTTTTTTATTTATTTATGATAATAAGGGAAAAACTAAAACATTATAAGTACCTCAATATAATTCATTGATTTGGCTAATCATGTTATAAAAATCGAAACTTAAAAATGTTGCTGATAGATTTGATAGAATATTTGTTGTTATTTTTTCAAACTTGGCAAGTTTGGTTGCAAGAAAAGGCAATTGATTTAGAGTTTTGCTAATTCATTAGTTTGTCATATTAAAAAAAATGGCACAATTTGGACATTCTTGCTGTAAAAAAATATTTTATTAAAATTGTGTTTTGATCAATAATTTAAACTAAGAAGTTGTGAAGCAAAACAAAAAAAGAAGAGAAGATGAATACAATATAAGTTATTTTCATTTTTTATTTTTTAGTTACAAAATTTCTCTCTAATGCTTGATCCAAAAAAGCATAAATATATTACAAGTTGTCTTCAAAGAAGAATGGTTTATGGCCGTGAATAGGCAGTTATTATTAATTTTTATATTGAAGTACCTACCACTTAATTTATGTTTAACTAAAGCAAAATTTTCATCATTAGTCCACTTGTTAACCATTATTTAACTTTTAGCATGTTTAGTGACTAGTTAAAAATTAGGGATAGTTGCCAACAGGTCATACGAATCGGATTTATTTATCAAAAAATCTCAATCTGATTTTTCATGATAAATTAATTATTTAATTACCTACGCTTTCAACATCACATTTCAATAGAAAAACTAATACAAATAAATCAAAATAAATCAAAACTTACATATAAAAATCAAATATTTCAATTATTTATTACTTTCGTAAAATTTTCATTTTATTATTGATACTAAATGATCATTTCACAAACACAAAGCACATCTACAAAATCTCAAAAATTTTACATTATCAAAATAAGGGATAAATAGATAAAAAAAAATTACATAAAACTTAAGTACATAAGTAAATTTAATCAACATAATTTGTTAGTAATTATTCTTCAAAAAATTAGTGTCTCAAAGAAAGTAGATACATAAAAATACGATTCATTGTGATAACCTAAGGGTGGGTGGCATTGTGGTTAAGGCTTGGGGTTTAAGCCCCAAGGTCACATGTTCAATTCCCCTTTCCCCAGGCTAATTTCCTGGGCGAGCAATGGTAGAGGGCCCAAATTCTGTGGCTCAAAACATTTTTCTTTCCTGGGCGAAGCATAGTTGGTTAGGAGGTTGGACCTCAAGTTGTCTAATTAGCACTTGGTGTTGCTCTCCCGTTGTGCAAGTCCTGACTTAAGCGGAACTTATCTTGAGAGGTCGGGGCAAGTTCCCAAGTTATAATCTCCTCGCTTGAAACGGCTAACAGGAAGCGGAACTTGTCTTGAGAGGTCGGGGCAAGTTCCCAGGTTATAGTCTCCTCGCTTGAAACGACTAACAGGACACTCTGATGATCTCTGTAAGGGGTGCTGTCTTGGACCTGCGAGAGGGTAGGGAGCATTTTCCTGTAACCCAAAAAAAAAAAAAAAAGAAAGGTTCATTGTGACTTGTTAAAGTGTGGTGGTGGCGGGATAGAGGTCATTGATGGGATGGTAAAGGTGACGGTGATGATAGTTGGTCGATGATATTTTGTAAAAAGTTAGACTTAAAACAATTTTTTTTATATTTTAAAAATAATAATACTTTTTTGTTTAAATAAATTTATTTTTTATTGATTTCTATTTTCTATTCTATCAAACATTAAAATAAAATAAAAAAAATGAAAACAAACACAGCATAGGCAAGGAAAGCACAAAAAAAAAAAAAAAAAAAAAGTAGAAATAAAAATATACATGTATATACATAAAAGTGATTACATACTAGAGGCTTTCTTTTGTCAACTTATATCCAATCCAAGTAGTAAGGGGTATTTTAAGAAGATGATTAAAAAATTAATTTTTTAACTTTTTTTTTTAATTTTATGTAAGAAATAATATGACTTAAAATAAATTAAAAATTAACTTTTAACTTTTTTGACATATCGACAAAACAATCCTAATATGTTCATGTTGTTCTTCACTCGTCAATAAATTCAACACAAAACACACAAATTTTCCTTCTCTCTCTCTAACTTTTATTAACGGAGGCAGATTTTTTCTAGTTCAAAATCTAAATTGAAGGAAGTTATTTAGATTTGTAAAAAAACATATAAAATATCTAACAAAATAAATAATTTAAATTATCAAAATAAAATCCATAATACGCTTTACGAATTCTCCTCGAGTCCAGATTTTAGAGCGGAGCGAATCTCCTCCTTTATTAATGTTGGTGGATTCACGGGTTATGATTCTGACTTATACAAGCCCATCTCTGGCGCACCAGAACTACAGAGCAAAGCAAGTGCTCAACTTGCTCTGTAGCCAATAGCTTTTGGTTACGCTTTACGAATTCTTCTCTCTCTCTCTCTCTCTGCTTCGTTACTACTAAACTTAACTACTACTTTACTTTTTTGTCTTAAACTGCTCACTTGAGATAACCCAGCAACCAACATGTTTGTCACTCCTTTCCCTTTTTTCACCAGTTTGCTCTTCATTCTCCTTATCCTACGCACCTCACACTCCACCACCACCAATGCTGCCGCTGGCCCGCCCCGCCAACTCTCCGTGGACTACTATGCCAAGTCCTGCCCGGACCTCGACCAACTCGTCGCCTCCGTCACCGCCCAGCAGTTCAAGGAATCACCCGTCGCCGGTCCCGCCACCATTCGCCTCTTCTTCCATGACTGTTTCGTTCAAGTAATATCACAAATTCCCTGGTTTTTTCATCCCCGCGCATGTTAGCCGATCACAGCACGATATGCTATCCTAGTGCATTTTTTTTAGCTGATAATGCTTTCTAATAAAAATGATTTACAAACCTAATTTATATATATATATATATTTTTAAGGATCTATATGAAGGGCTCATTTAAGAATTGACTAATTAGCTTTTTGAATTAAAAAATAATATATAAACCTATTTTTTAGATTTAATAATGTGCAAGTTATATGATTAGTTGGTAATTCAATAAGATATAAGAAAGTATTGTCTTAAATATCCTAATTGATTGTTACATCTTTGGGCTTAAAAAGTGAGTCTAATTTTTAGACTTGAATAGCCATCAGTGTGTTTGGTTTTAATTTTTTGAATTTAGTGAAAATTGAGTATTTTATTTTTCGTGTTTTTTTTAGTGAATATTTTAAAAATTTTAAGTAATTTTTTTTACTTTATTAGATGCACCTTACTTAGATATATTTAAATAGTGAAATATTTGTGAAAAATTATTTTTAAAAATTAATAAATACATAAAAATACGAAAAATATACTGAATTTTCATATTTTTTTCATATTTTTGACATATATGAATTTTTAAATTTTTTTTAACAAATATTATACTTTTTAAGCGTATTTATGTTAGTTAGGGGTGTAATTTTGGCCCGTGGCCCATGAGCGGCCCGAGATGAGCCCGGCCCGTTAAGGCCTGAGCCCAAGCCCAGCCCGAGGCCTTGGCTCAGGGCCTGGGCCATCGTTTTGAAGTCCGGTCCGGCCCATTGGCCGCTTAAGGCCCGTCCAAAAGCCTGGCCCGAGGCCCAGTCCGCCCGACCCACCCGATGCTCAGTATTATTTTTAATGAAAAATAATAAAATTTTAGTGAAAAAAATAAAAAAAAAAATTTTAAAAACTGTTTAGGCCCGCCCAAAGCCCAAATACCCTTGGCCTAGGCTTGGGCCTAGGCCTAGTTTTCTGACTCGTCCCGCCCCGAGCCCGGATGGGCCGGGCCGGGTCAAAATTACACCCCTAATGCTAGTTGTGTCTAAAAATTTTAAAAAAAATCACTTAAAATATTAAAAAAATTCAGTGATTTTTTTTTTTTTTAATGAAAAACGAAAAAGTAGAATTTTTTGAAAAGTAAATTCTAAACTAAACAGGGTGATCTTTTGAATTTTTACGAAAAGATGTATAGAAAATGATGTGATAATTTATAGTAATTTTTTTTAAAAAAATAAAAATTCACATTTCCAAACAAGGTTGAAATGATGTAGCAATGATATATTTGCAATTATAAAGCCTTGTTTAGAAAGTAGTTAAATTAGTTAAAAAGTCAGTATAAAAAATTAATTCATTCTTTTATTTTTTTTACTCGTCTTTTAGTAAAAATTTAAAAATAAATAAAAAAATCAATTTCCAAATAAACCATTCCCAAATAAACCGTAAATATGAGTGTTTTTAGATCATTCTGAATGAAAATTTTATTTGAAAATTTTGTTTATATGATATTATTTTTATTTTAAATATTATTTATCCAGTTAATTAGTCCAATGACTTTAATGATTTTTTTTATTTTCATTTTTTTGCATGGTTATATTAATTAAAGGGTTGTGATGGGTCGATATTGATATCGACAAGTCCGGGAAGCAAAGAGTTGGCGGAGAGGGATGCGCAGGATAACAAGGACCTAGCGAAGGAGGCGTATGATAGCATAGAAAAGGCCAAGGCAGTGGTGGAGAGCAAGTGTCCTGGTGTTGTATCTTGTGCAGACATTCTTGCAATTGCAGCTAGAGATTTTGTTCGTTTGGTAAGATAGTGGCATTATTTTATTTTATTTTATTTTCATAAATAATTCCTGTCATATCATGTGAAATTATTATCCAATTATGGAAAAAAAAAAACTAAGAAGCCAAAAAAAATATAGTTTGAAAAGTGATTAAAAAAAATTCTTCTATATGGTATAAATTTAAATTTATTGTGACGTGAAATGTCTTCGCAATAAATTTGATCATTATAATTTATTTTTTCAAAAAAAAAAAAATTTGAATTTTTTTTTTTTTTTTTTTCTTATTATAACTTGGTAGCATTGTTGTTAGATTAAGGGGAAAGCCCATGAGAGGGCATGTCTTTAATTCTCACACAATCATTGAAAAATACTTCATGGTGAAGACTAGATCATGGCCTTTTGTAATTTTTTTTTTTTTGCTTTATTACAAAAAGTAGGACGGGCGATCGTTTAATGTCTCATATACAAAAGATGTCTAGACAGGCTAACAATGTGAGGTTTTTGTATACAAGAGATTTATAAGTACTTTTTTAAGATGGGCTTGAGTCATAACTTGACTCCAGTATCACACAGATTATTACACACAAAAAATCAATAAATAATTTCTCAAAACAAACTTAAATCATAACCTAACTCTAACCCCACCAAAGACATAATCACAAAGAGTCAATAGTTCAGAATTAGTGAGCAATTATCTTGCTTCCTCAACGTTGCTTAACAAACAAAACCATATCCACTTTATCACTAAACTACATGGGAGTACGTCCCCCAACCATGACCATTGTGTGATATGTCTCTTTAAATGTTAGGATAACAAAATATAACAAAATTAGTTAAATAGCATTCAAAATTCAATACATTAGTAACACATTGAATAGCATTCAAAATTCAATAATCAAATCTAATCACTATAACATAACATTTATTATTATTATTTTTTTTATGGTAGGAAATGATACTAGTGAACAAATTGAGCATTACTCACTTCCTATGTTGTCTGATCGAAAAAAATTTGTAATTTTCTTAGAAGTTAAAATCTAGCACATGACATTGGCTCGGTAGTTCATACATCTTAAAGGTATATTTGGTCTATGAATTTGAAAAGAGATTTAAAAAGAAAAATGGAGAGAAAAATTGTGTGAAATATAATTATATTTTATACACATTTCATTTCCTATTTTTCTTTCCAAATCGCTTTCTAAATTAATGAACCAAATACATCGTAAAGGTCATGACAGCTGCATATGCTCAGCCTGGAAACACTGGATACATATCACTTTTTGGTCAATTAATCAATAGTGATGAATTTCTCCCTCTCTCTATATAACAACAAATATTCTAGTGGTGGTTGATGCTTTTAATAAAAATAATGTCAAGGATGAAAATATTTTAAGTTATGGGATCACACCCAAAACTATTGTAGACTAATGATTTTTTTTAAATATTTTTTTTTTGAATTTGTAATATTATTGTGCTTTTAGGGTCTATTTGATTAATAAAAATTAATAGTAAAAGGATTAATAATCCGTGATATTAGTGTAGGATTAGTTATCAACCGAATTAGTGAAATACATAATTTGTCTGTTCACATTTGTTTTGTAATAGATATGAAAATGACCATTGAAATCTGATTTGAATAATAAAATTTGCAATTATATAATGAAATGTAAATCTTATAAATTAATAATTCTAATGCAATGCTATAATCAACCCAATCAACCAAGTCCTTAAAGTAGAAATATTGAAAAAATTATTTGTCATTTGTTATCAAATGAGCTTACATTTATGTTGATTTTCTTCCTTGACATACATCAGATGTTTCTCTTTCGGATAGTGAAGACAATATACATGCAATTATTTAATTGGACTAAAGCCTAAAATGTAGAAACAAATAAAAATTTAAAAAAGGGACAGACCTTCATTTCGGTTCATTAAATGGACAGGAGAATTTAGTTGAAGGGATTGTGGGTTCACCCTTGGCTTGGTTCAAATTATTTTATTTTATTTTATTTAAATTTTTAAGATTATTTAGCCTAAATGGAGCTAAAATGTAAAAGATTTTGGCTCAAATTATAAAAAAAATTCACTAAATACATAAATTAAGAGAGTAAAGCTACCCCAAATGAATATTTCTATGACTTGTATGTAGTCTTTTTTTTTCATTTTTTTGATCGCTAAAATTTCTCTGCAATCATAAAACATTTTGTTTTTGTGCAATTATTAAAATCTGTTTAGTCCAAGATTTTTATTTTTTTTTTTAAATTTTATTTTAAACTTGAAACACCTTGATTTCATATGGTGCAGGCAGGGGGACCATACTATCAAGTGAAGAAAGGTAGGTGGGACGGAAAAATATCAATGGCATCCATGGTGCACGCCAACCTTCCCCACGCAAATTCCACCATTGACGAACTTCTCAAGCTCTTCACATCCAAAGGCCTAGCTCTCCATGACCTAGTTGTCCTCTCAGGCGCGCACACAATCGGATTTGCCCATTGCGAACATTTTGTGACCCGACTATATGACTACCGGGGCTCCAAGCAACCTGACCCTTCCGTTGATCCAAGGCTCCTCAAAGCCCTTAAAATGTCATGCCCACATTTTGGTGGCAATGTAGACATTGTTGCACCATTTGATGTTACCACACCTTTCTCATTTGACAATGCCTATTATGGAAATTTAGAGGCTAAATTGGGCTTGCTAGAAACAGACCAAGCTTTGTTTTTGGACCCAAGGACTCGGCCTTTGGTTCAAGAACTAGCTAAGGACAAGCAAAAGTTTTTTCAAGAATTTGTAGTGGTCATGGAGAAAATGGGTTCAATTGGTGTGAAAAGTGGAAGAACACGTGGGGAGAAAAGAAAAGATTGTAGCATGCATATGCTATGATATTCGCTGTTTGGGCACATAATCATTTGTTTTTATCTGTCTCGAGATTCTTACATAATTCGATTGATTGTTTGCTATTTTTTTATTTTACATCATCTTTGTCACATTTCAATTATTACATATATATTTTTTCTATTTTGTTGAAAGTTATGTACATGAGGTTTTGTGAATGTTTGAGTTTTGAGAAAATTTTATTGATTTTTTTTTAAAATTTTTTTTATGAAATACTATTTATTTTATTTAATCATAAATGTAAGTTGTGACTTGTGGTGATTGATGAGAAAGTATTAAAAATATAATAAAATGTTGAGAAGTGAAAAACGAGAGGTTTGCTTCTATTTTCTTATATTTAATTTTCAACTTATAAAATACTAAATCAAATAAGTCCTAAGTCTAGTGTTGGGAATTAAGTTATATAATATTATAATAATAAAATGTTTATTAGTTCATAATAATAAACAAATATATTTCTTAATACAAATTATTCCATGAATAAAATAGATTCTGTTAATGGAAGGGAGATATAAACATGGAAAAACACATGAAAATTTTATTTTTACACATTTATTTATCTTTGTGTATATATTTAATGAAATATAATTATAATAACAATTATATGTTAAAGCAAAATGATCATAATTGATATCAAAATATACTCTTAGGCTTGGTTTGGGAAGTAGGTTGGCTTTTTGGCTTTTTGGCTTTTTTGGCTATTTTAGCCTGGGCTAAAAAGTTTGGTTTGGGAAGGGCTTTTTGGCTTTTTTGACTTTTTTTGTGAGAGAAGAATGTAATGATTATAGGTTGGATGTGATGTTTTGTTTGTTATGGCTAAAATAGTCTATTTTGTTTTTTGTGGCTAAAATAGCCAAAAAAGCCTGAAAACCATCTTGCCAAACAGAGGCTTAATATTAAATCAAAGTTTTCTCTATACACATCTTTTAAAAACAAAAAATCTCGGTGAATATCTTTTGAGTAAAACAAACTAAATTTTAATTTCTCCATTGTTTCTCACATACTTTATTGTTTAAATTCAAATAAGGATATCTCTGGTTATAACAAATGCAATGATGAAAATGGGAACTTTTTTTGTGCAATTTTTTTTTTGTTCGTGATTTTCATTCAGCAAATCAATGTCGATATTGTTTAGCAAATTCGGAACTCAAGTTTCTAATTTAACAATTAAATTTGAAAATCAAGTTCTAAAAATTTGTAAAATTTTTGAAAGTAAACAACTAAATAATACTTTTTCCATTCAGAAAACCAATGCTGAATGTGCAGAATAAAAAATCTTATAAGAAAAAACGAGAGTTAATGAAAAATAAGAGATAGATACAATTATAAGTTGTCAATGAAGTGCATAGAGAATAACATATAACAAAATGAGATAAAAGATTTCAAAATGAAAAGGAGATATTCACTTTCAACAATGCAATGTAGGCCTTCAATAAAGTTGTCAATGGATGGTATTCAATAGAGTTGTTTTTGTGTGGGTGAAATTGAAAAGATGTCTAAAATTTTGAACATGTATATGGAGAAGGGTTTAGGTGGTATGTGTACAAAAATATGAGTTAAGAGTATAATTAAAATATCTGATGTATAGAATGAGAATAATAAAATATAATCAAATTAATAAACATGCATATTAAAAAATAATGTGCACAAATATAAATAGATGTGGAAATAGAATTTTACCGTACTCTTAAAGCGGGCAATAAATACTTCAATGGACTATTTGTTATAGCTTTTGGGAGTGGTTATATCTTATTTTGATTTGAGAGTATGTGTCAGACTGTTTGGCATAACTTTTATTTATAGCTTTATTAGTCAGAAATAACTTAAAATAAGCTTAAAAAAAATTGATTATTTAAAAGTTAGAATAAAAATACTTTGAACTTTTAGAGATAGTTTGAGATGATCTAAATAAGTATATTTTTTGACTTTTTATAAAATATAGATTGAATTTAAAGTGATGTAATAGAGAGATGATGATATAACCTAAATAAAATAATATAACATAAATAAAATAACGACTATTTAACTTTTTAACTTTTTTAAATTATGCCAAACCTAATCTTACTTTTTAATTATCAACTTTTGACTTGAAAAAAACTCCACCAAACATGGCGCCAGGGCCAAACGGACCCATTTACCATCCATCAGATATATTTTAACCATACGGAAATTGTGTTTGGGCGGCTAGAAAGAAAGAAGCAAAATCAAGCACAACGACAATGAGGGCCGTAGTTCAGAGAGTTGCCTCTGCCAGCGTTGAGGTCAGTAAGAAAATCAACCCTCTCTCTCTCTCTCTCTCTCTCTCTCTATATATATATATATATGTATGTGTTTGGTTGTATATCAAGTGGTTCACCTGCAGGTAGAAGGTCGAATTGTATCGGAGATAGGGCCGGGGCTTCTGGTGCTTGTCGGGATTCACGAATCGGATGTGGAGTCCGATGCTGAGTACATCTGTAGAAAAGTATTGAACATGAGATTGTTCTCTAATGATAAAACTGGAAAAAATTGGGACCAGAATGTAAATCCCTCTCTCTCTCTCTCGCTCTCTTCCAGTAGGGCATCTTGGTAATCTAATTTGATTTTTTTTCAGTTATGTGTGTTGATTATCATAAAAGGGAAAAAATTAAATAAATCAGATAATCATTGTGGCATATTTAATCACAAAAAATAATGAAAGGGTACTATGGTTTTGGGAGTGTACCATTCACTTCTTTATATGTGAACATGATTATGATTATTAGAGGGATTTAATTAGGGTAAAAGTACACTGAGCCTCTGTTTGGCAAGTTGATTCTTGGGCTTTTTTGGCTATTTTAGCCACAAAAGACAAAATAAGCTATTTTAGCCATAACAAACAAAACATCACATCCAACCCATAATCATTACATTCTTCTCTCACAAAAAAACTCAAAAAAGCCAAAAAGCCAAAAAGCCAACCCACTTCCCAAAAATACGTTTAAAAAATTATAATATTTGTGAAAAAAAAAACTTTAAAAAATTTATCCAATATAAAAAATATGAAAATTTATATTTGTTGTATTCAATGAATTTTTTTAAAGATTTTTATATAATTTTTTTACTTTTTAAATATATTAAGATTAAGTGGATCTAAAAAAAAAAATTGATTAAAATATTTTTAAAAATATTAAAAATACAAAAATACGAATTAAAAACTCAAAAAATTGTTTTTGAATACTCAAAACCAAACAAATTTTATAAGTTTGGTATAATTATACTAGTTTCTCTTTTAGTAAGGCTTAAACGTTCAATGGTGCATAGACACATGGATAAACAAGGTAAAATATGCATATTTGAGTGTAATAGTGATGACATCACTTTTTTTTTAATCTATACTATTAGAGAATTATTGATGAAAAGCGGATTAGTGTATGTGAATTAAAATTTCAAGGTAGCATAATGTAATTATATCAAACTTTGTGGGGTTCAATGTATTTTCACTAAATCTCAAGGGAGGTTGGAGTAATTTACTCTTTTATTTATTTATGTATTTTTTTATTTTTGTATTTCATGAATGATCTATACACCTAAAACTAGAAAATGATTGGATTGGATTATCAAAAACAGCAGTGTGGTGCCAGCATACTACAGCAATGATCTGGTTCCGTTTAACTGACTGTCTTTTATTTACCCAAATTCCAAATTTGTATGACACGCTGAATATTTATTTGATGTGCATTTGCAGGTAATGCAGAAGAATTATGGTGTTCTACTAGGTACATAACATGGTTATAATTTTGCTAATATTATTGTTGCCCGTTTTTCATTTTATATCTACAAAATTTTTTGACATTTGTATCCATGTATGCAATACGATAATGTAAAGCAGGCACTCTTCTTGGTACCCCTGTTACATTTGACAGAATTCAAATTGAAGTATCTAGCTCCATGTGGAGTTTGAGATTGGGATAAGTACAAGTAGGGGAGAGAAAGAGAGAGAGTAAATTAGGGGGAGAGAGAGTGCAAGATGGCTAAGAGAGAGAAGTAGATATCTTATTTATACAAAAATTTGCACTAAAAGTAAATAAAGATTATACGGTGAGGTAAAGATCATATGTTACCTCACCCTATAATCTCATTTTTATTTATTTGATTTTCTTTTGTTTTAAATATCCCTCTCTGTTTTTTTGTTTTGGTTACATTCCCCACTCTGTCAAACTTGGCAAAAAAGGGGATGTCTAAATTCAAATTCTTTTAATAAAAAATTCCTATTTTACCCAAAGTGAAAAACAAAAATACAGGAAAATTCTCCAAAATACTTTTCTTTTGCTGAGAATTGAGTTTTAAAAGCATTGTGTAGCTCTAATTTTGTGTGGATGTTTCAGTGAGTCAGTTTACATTGTATGGGATTTTGAAGGGTAACAAGCCAGATTTTCATTTGGCAATGTCGCCTGAGAGAGCAAAGCCCTTCTACACTTCTGTAGTTGATAAATTCCGGAGATCGTACAACCCTGATGCAGTAAAAGGTAGATGTGCTTTTTCTATTGTGTGCTTATTTCTTAGCTGGTACTATTTTATTTTCTATATGACATTGTTAAATTTAATGCCGGTTAGTTCTATTAGATTTTGAATTTATCTGTTTATTTTTGGTATTGCTGGATAATGATAGCTTTTGGCATTGTTTATCGATTCTATTATATAAAGTGTGAACACAGTTAAGATTTTTTTATTTTTCTTTCTTCCAAGAATTGTCTTCCATATTCAATACCTGTCATATCTAATAACTGCTATATTGTTTTTCTCATTCATCAAATCGTTTAAAATTTTAAATGTAAAATTGCAAACGCTTGCACCTACCAACCAGTGGTAATGCATAATGGGGGTGTTTGGTGGAGCTTTTTTAAGCCAACTTATGGCTTCTGGCTTCTGGCTTTTAAAAAGTTGTTTTGGACTGTTTGGTTAAACTTATTTCAAACAGCTTCTGATTCTAATAACTTATTTTAAGTCAAAAAAGCTGATTTTGAGAAGCTGTTCACCCCTTACTTCTGATTATCAGCTTCTGCTGTGAACATGTTAATTCACGGTTATACTCTTAGATTTTTTTATTTTTTATTTTTTTAAAAATAGAAAAAGACCCAAATGGACTATTAAATATTATTATTATTTTTTATAAAAAATGTAGACAAATAGTGAATAATAAAAAATAAAAATTAATTGAAAAAAATACTTCACAGCTTATTTAATAAACACTACTCAACAACTTAAATCTATAATCCAACAGCTATACCAAACAGATTAATAGCTTCTGATTAAAGTCATAATCTATAATCTGTTAAACTATAATCTATAATCTGTTTTAACAGCTACACCAAACAGCACCAATAGCTTCAGGTTATGTGCAGCAGCATTTAGCAAGCTAGAAGTGCTTTAAGAAGTTAATTTTTTGTATTAAAGAACTCATTGCTAATCTGAATTCAACTTTAGCAACCATAATTGGCGTTTCTTGTATTCCTTCTTCCTTCTCCTAAAACGATAGCAGTTGATGATTTTGCATTAACATTCTAGAACAGAATGGAATTTAGCGCAAGAAGTGCAACAAAGGTCACAGTGGTATTGGAATAGCATTTAGTTTTTCAGCAAATTGATTCTCCGAAACAAGTTTAGAAATTTTCTAGCTTCAAAGAAAGTTTACATATTAAATAGCTTCTCTCTTTAAGTTTATCTTCACTATGCCCTTTTGAATCGGGTTTTGGTCGGACAGTAAAACCTTTGTCAAATTGCTTAATTGCAATTTGCAAATGACTCAGGTTTTGACTGTTACATGCCGAGAAATTTTGACAAGCCATTGCATTAAGGAATTTATTTAGGAGGAAAATTTGGTATCAATCAAAGCAGGGTTTAGTGTTATGTGTTGCTCTCATCAATCCTGTAATTTTTTTTTTAAATCTTGTTAATTTAATCATATCATGCATATCATTAATGGTGACATTATTCTGAAGTAGCTCTGATGTATGATTAATTAAAAGAATGTAGTATCGGAGTGTTGTATTGTACTGCCACCTGTGGGATCAAGTCTGACACATATGATGCAGATATCTCACCAATTCTAGCTCACTGTAGTCATGTCACTCGATTTACTTCATGGTCGCTACATTTCATCTTTTTAATCATTATTTTAGAAAATGCATTCTCCATCTTGTATTCACCTTTGTCTTTCCTGCATCCTTGTCATTATCTACAGATGGTATATTTGGAGCAATGATGAAGGTGAGGCGCCCTAAATCAGTTTTTTTTGAGTACTTTCTTTATTATGTTTGTTTATCTTTCTGGGTTGGAGGAGGGTGATAATTTACTATGATCTTATGATGGCGGAAAGGTCAATTTGGTTAACGATGGACCAGTCACAATGCAGATTGACTCGTCACAACCATCCAAGTGAGTACATACATACCAGTCACAATGAACTTGTCCAATGGCTTGAGTTTCTATGATGTCTCTCGAGTTATTTCCAATCAGTATGAAACTGAACTTATGATGCACTGTTTCAGGAATACAACTGATGCAGTTGAAGAACCATAAATTGGTTGGTTTCCATCAATTAAAATGATTAGAATGATTCAACTACGGGTCTGAAATCTTTCTGTGACCCAAAATATTTTACGTAGCTGGCGAAGAGGCACGAGTTATAGAAAACAAAACTGCTCTGACTTGTTTTGTTTATTTGCCTTTTTAAAGGACCGTGTTATGATTTCATACTGAGATTGCTTTGCTAAATGTCACTACATTCAAATCAATTTATGGTAATTCAAAAGAAAAATGTTTATGGGAGCTTCTTATAATTTCATTCCATGCTTTCTGATACATGTACTGAGCATGATGTGGGACAGTACAGAAAGGGTTGTAAACATTGGGGGTGTTTGTTTCAGCTTTTCAGCATGATGTGGGACAGTACAGAAAGGGCTGTAAACATTGGGGGTGTTTGTTTCAGCTTTTCAGAGCTAACTTATGACTTTTATCTTTAAAAAAATTATTTTGGACTGTTTGGTTAAACTTATTTCAAACAGCTTCTGATTCTAACAGCTTATTTTAACTCAAAAAAGCTGATTTTGATAAACTGCTCATCCCTTGTTTCTGATTTTCAGCTTCTGCTGTGAACATGTTAATTTATGGTTACTCTTAAATTTTTTTATTTTTTATTTTTTTAAAAATAAAAAAGACTCAAATGAGTTATAGATTATTATTATTTTTTTATGAGAAATGTAGACAAATAAAAAATAAAAATTAATTGAAAAAACTATTTCACAACTTATTTAACAAACACTACTTAGCAACTTAAATCTATAATCCAACAGCTACACCAAACAGATTAACAACTTCTGATTAAAGTTATAATCTATAATCTATTAAGCTATAATCTATAAGCTGTTTTAACAGTTCCACCAAACAGGACCATTATGGATAACAATTGAAGTTAGAAGAGACTATGGACTGACATGGTGGAGTGGTAAACAAGAATGTAGTTGGGAGAATAAAATGGAATTTGGGCAACAAAAAACCTTGAACCGACATAGGTTACACAACTTCAATCATATACTATCGCTGAAAGGATCTTAAATTGAAATGATATACTAGTGGTTGCACAAAAAATGTACAAAATCACAATGCCACTGGGCTGTCAAAGGAATTTAAAATTGTCACCACAATTCATCGATTTTGAGTTTTACATGCACATATGAACTTACATCATAATGTTTCCAACAAACCTAGGCAAAAAAAGATAGATAGCTGCTCTTTTTAGCTTGCTGGTGTACGTAGTGTTCTACACAAAATGGCTGTGCCCAGTCACATACTTGTATTTGTGTTCACATACCCTTGCTTGCAATATAGCTTCTGTTTAGCTCAGCACGAGTCACAACGAAATCAAACGGTGCACCCTATGATTTCGTTGAGAGGATGGTTGCTGCTGTAAACAATGCTTCTTTTCCAAAAGGTAAAATTTCCATGTTCCTGCACCATGATTCATTAAATTACAACTGAATGGAACAAAAAGGTGCAAACACAACAAATATAGGGATCAGGGGCGACAAAACCGAGTTGCTAACTTAACAGATGTGTACAACAAATAGAAAATATTGAATAAGAAATCTTTCTGAGTAGATATAATTAGAGACATTACATTCTGAGACATTAGATGTTGGATATACCCTAAAAATCTTAATAGTTCTTAACATCTACAAAATGAGGTATGCTGACTTCAGTATGACTCTTTTGGGCACTTGGCTTCATACTTCTTAACGATATAGACAGGAAAAAACTATTTTTTTGGGAAAATAGCATAAGACATAATTAACCATAGGTAATGAAAAAGTACAAATAATCAATAAAAAAGATAACGCATACAAATGGATGCTACTATTGTAATTTATAGAAAATTTAACGTTTTCAGACCAAAATCTACAAACCAAGACAGATCATAGAAAAATGACATGATACCGTATATTGTCAGCCATAGTTCTATCATAACATGTATTAAGTGAGAAACCCTATTTGGTGTCAGCCAAAAGGTGAAGCTACTTCGTGACTTCTCTAATTCCAAAATTGACATAAGAAACTTTTTAAATTTTTAGTTAAACTGTTTCAGTTTCTGATTCTTCAACCCCTATCAACTGCTTTAGTTTTTAACCGTGAATAATTAAAGTGTGGTTTAATGAGTTTCTCATAGCACAAGCATCACATGTGCACACTTGCATGTAATAGGAAAAGGCATAGGGGCTATGGGGCTCAAGTTAGATTCATGAAACATTTTTCTGAAACACATGGAGAAGAATACTATGGTTCAAGCAAATTAAGTATTATGGAATGCAAGTACGAAGATATTCTGCACAGACAAAAATGCAAATGCTATAAATAACATATTGTGAAATAGTATTGAACCTTACTCGTCTATTCTTCTAAGATTAGTAAAGGCAGATATTATATTCTTGCAAATTTCCACCAGAGAGCTCTCCCTGACATCTTCCTTAGACTGACAGATGCCTTCAGCTGAATGTTGGGATGATAATGACAAATAAGCCTGAAAGAAAATTATGATAGATAACTAAGTTCAAATTGTAAAAATAAAATCGTCCCAGACAATAAAAACACTCCTCAAGCATGGTCATTTGGGGGTAAGGAGAGTAGGGATGTATAGAAGTCAAGTCATACTCAAAAAACTTTTGATATATCCCAAAAGGAGCTTGCACCCTGTACCCTGTTCGTGGTGATAGGAGATGCAACTCAAGCTAACAACAGGTGATCAGACTTTAAAGAACCCTACTTGTTTATTTCTTCTACATTTATGTTAAAAACTTGGACTAAATGTATCTAGCATATGGAACCAAAAGTCATACACCTTTTTTTACATGAACTAAACAAATTAATTATTGTTCTCAAAGTAGAGGGAAAGAAAAATCGAATAAGCAATGAGACATTCCCAGATGCACTAGACCAGTGTGCATAGGATAGAGCAAGAGCCTCACCCTGTACATATAAAGTGAAAAACTAGACTATTTGCTAAATTTGAACAATCACCTGAAAAGCATGCGCTAGAAGCAATTGTGCTACTTCTGCACTGATTTTCTTTATGATATTTTTTGCACAGTTGCTATTTGAAAAGGACTTCAAAATTCCATCATATGTTGCATCGTCCATTGGATCACTTGACTGCCGAGTGCGGGTAGAAGGCTGCATTACAGAGTTAAAAATAAATAAATAATTATTTTCAGAGGGAAAAGTTGGCTTTCCTACATAAATTTTGAGGTCTCTGTTGAGCAGCTTGTATAAATAGAAATAGATCCATAGCTCACATGCTTGGCAATAAATCAATGGGATAAAAAGAACCAAGGTCATGAACTCAGGTGCTCATCTCAAGTGGTTGACAGTTGACACTAATAAATTTGCAACCCAGAGCAAATATCAAAGGCTGCAAAGCAGTTCATTTAACTATTTGAATGTTCTGAGAAAAATTCTGTTTGTTCAAGAGTCCCCAATCACTTTTCATCTATTATCTATATGCTATTCTCCATGGTTATTTGAGTAGATCTAACACAGCTATTTGTATAAACTATTCCTAAATTTCCCTGGTAGTACAATTCACATGGAGATTTGGTCTAGGAAAACTCATGCCAATGTTGTTACAATTATAAAAGGAAAAAAAAAGAAGCAAAGGACCTTGAAAACTGTCCAACCATCTTGAGGGTATTACATGGAGTACAGCTCCATGTCCCCGAAATAAGCAAACTCGTAAGGTGATTGAAGTATTTAATCCCAGCTTTTCAGATAATTTCCATGTAGTGTAAATATAAATAAATGGAAAGCACGGCTTTCCCCTCTTGATATAATGGGTAAGTGGTAAGTGTGCCTTTCTGCTTGGAAGAAGTGGAGATGAAAGGAACCCCTTGGCAAATGGTTGCATAAACGCACTATTATAGGTCACTCTGAGAAATGTACCAGAAGGAAATAAATGGAGAGTAGACCTACACTTTTCAAAACTCAACTTCCCAGGGAATGACTATACTTCATTTTAGGAAATAACAGGCAAACATCATGGAGAAACTGCAAACGCCTTGACGACAGTATAAATGTAAAAACTCCGTGATGATCTGAATTCTGAAATTAAATAGATTTGCCATGAAAATCAAAATAGACAACTCACTTTAGCGATGTACTTCTGAAAATACTGTATAATTAATTCTAGCTTCCATTTAGGTTCATTAAAGACCTGCAAACCATTCTCAAGGTCAGCCAAGAAAAAAACAAAGGAATCATGAGTAGCATAAGCAAAGCTTTGACAAGCAACATTTTCAAAATGCAGTTAGAGAATCATGTCACCACAAACTGACGAAATAAACATCTCTTGAGGACCTCAAAGGAGGATCATAATAGGTACTGCTGGTGTAATTTTGCAACCTCCAAATGAAAATGTTAAATCTCCTATTACAATCATTTCTAACAAACCATATAAGTGATTGGATGTTGATAAACGCTAGTGATGTCGCCAAACAATCAAAATCAGTATGTCTTTTATTATATATGCCAATTTGGTTTGGTGTGAGTGGATTTTTAAGTCAACACTAGTCCCAAAAGCTTAAAATAGACCTGACAATGTATATCATGTACAATCCTATCTTGCACATGGAGATGCAAAAAGACATACATATGCCCCGTTTGGTAGAGCTGTGGGAAAGTGATTATAACTTATAGCCTAACAGCTTATAGCTTATAACTGTGAACATAAGCTGATTTTTGACTTATAAATTAAGTTTCTCCTCCCTCACTCAAAGAATAAGTTGATTTTTGACTTACAAAAAGCTATAAGCTGTATTATTAAGCTAAACCAAACACATCAAATTAGCTTAAATTAAGCTAAAAGCTGAAATAAGCTAGAAATAAGCCCTACCAAACAGGGCCATAGAGTGATAGGGAGAATCAAAATGCAAATGAGAAATATATATGCAAATAGAGACTTGAAACAAAGACCTCCCCTAACCTAAGCTTTTAATACCACATTAAGGCCAAGTTTGGGAAGACTAAATAAGTGCACTTTTTGTCTTTTTGGACTAAAAAATTGAGATTGAAAATATGGATGTTTGGGTTAACTTTTTGACTTTTTATGGAAAAATGTGTAATAAAAAATTGTAAAAATTGGTTTGTAGAGGAAAATTTGAATTGGGAGTTGTGCAGCCGTAATTGTTGACTTTTGGTGAATAGTGTTAACTTTTTAACTTTTTGAGTAACTTTTTGGCTTTTTGGCTTTTTTGGAACATCCCAAACTTGGCCTAAGTCACCACTAGTCCCAAAAGCTAGCTGTTCGGAAATGAACCCAAAGCTATCCAACAGGATTTGGTCTTTTTTCTTTAAATGATGCCATTTGCACTATGAGATATTTAATTGACAAGAAAGTGAGCAAAAAATAACAGCTTAAGAGAAAAAATAGTGAGGTGGGAACATGTGCAGAGGTCCCATCTCTAGTATTATTAAAAGAACTACAGGATTGTTAACAACATCATTGGAGGCACTCAGCAAACCTATGCAAGGAGGCCCATTACACAAACACACACACACACACAGAGTTAATGGAAGTTGCCTGGAAAAATGGGAAAAGTGCATCTCTGTTGTAAGTAAGTTCATCTTGAATTATTTCCACTGCAGGGGTTCTGCACCAAATCCAATAGCCATATCATTTCTTAGCTTAATGGTCATACATAAGCAAAGAAAAATTCTAGTACATATTTGGTGCATGAACATTTGCACACACACACACACCTAAATTGACAGATAAATAAACACACACACACACACAAAGAGTTTTCATTACATAAAAAATAAGCAAATACCTCAAACCATCAGCTCTGGTGGTAAGGCCTAATATATCTGCTTTCTTCTTTGATGTATCTAGCTCCATAGCCTAACGGGTCCAAAGGTTTACGGTTAGTAGTAGTGATGCATAATGCTTTCAGTATTGCTCACGAATCTTACCATCAACAGAAGTTTCTGCAAAGCAATACATGTACACTTCTTTACTTCAGGAAAAGAAATTGCAACAGCAGCATCACAATCTTCTAATTGCTCCACCGCAGAATTTTCGGGCAGTCTAATGTCATGACTGATTTCAGTATGAACATGAGACATTTCACACATAATTGATACGCAATCCTTGATTAAACCTTTGTAACTTATCCTTCTTGACCCCTATGAAATAATTTTCACAAATATGCTTCATGGTACAACAAAAAATAATTCAAATTATGTAATATAGAAGTATGACATGAGAGATAATTAATAATAATAACCTATCAATAATGAAAGGATATAGAATAAAATTCACAAAAATTGAAGGGCACCAGGCTCAAATATTGTACCAGAAGCATGTTTAGCAATGATTCCCTCAAAAGGTTCCAGTTCATAATGTCTGCAATAAAAAAAAGAAATGTTTAATCCATGAGATTAATTAATCCAAAATCCAAATAGTTACCAACAACAACTTACCTTTACAAATGGAGTAACGAGGTACAAAATCTCCTTCAAGAACACTTGTGAGGTACTGGAGGAGTAACATGTTCCTTAGGGACTGCAGAAAGGATCAAGTTAGAACTCATAACCTACCAAAGTCGTGAATTCGTTATTATTTAATGCTGCAATACAATGTAATAGTTTAGGTTCTCATAACAATTCAAACCACGTAATTGCAAGAAAAAGTAAATGCATAGAAGAGATGGATGTCACAATATAGGAATGTACATGATTTGAAATCAAACAAACATATAAGAGCTAACGCCATTACCAAAATAATATAGACAAAAAGGTATTTAAGGACAAAAACACTGCACCTGGATGGTTGACACCAGAGTAAGCTACTAGCAGAGTCCAGTTGGGGCATGAAGGACAACTACAGCAGGACAACTTTACAGCCTTGGACAGTTTGAAGGCCTTCCTCTTCAAGGCTAGAGATTGGTGTTGGGTCTTGTGGACCCTAACAAGTACTGTTCAATGGGCCTTGGGTCCAATGGGGGTTTTGGGGGAGTCTCCCAGCCTTGGACAGTTTGAAGGCCTTCCTCTTCAAGGCTAGAGATTGGTGTTGGGTCTTGTGGACCCTAACAAGTACTGTTCCATGGGCCTTGGGTCCAATGGGGGTTTTGGGGGAGTCTCCCCTCCAAGGGAAGGGGTACTTCCATCAGCCCAAATTTTTGGGTACTTTAGTAAATTCCTGAAGTCATACATCCATAAGTAAATATTGCTTATAAACAAATGAAGGGGATATCTCTTGTATTGTGGAGAGTTGTATTGTTTTTTGATCATAATGAAAACCATAGTATACATGCGTAACCCTATTCTAAGGTGAACCACATAAATCTTCGTGTTCTTGTGTGTGTGATTTCTTTAATCTATTTTATCTTTCTTGCTTTTTTGTGTCTCACCGATCTTGGTTAGGAAGATTTGATTTCCTAACAATTGGAGGCTTGCCAAGGTCTGTGCTCCTTATGAATGAATGAGGTGCCTATCGTTATGGCCTATCTGAGAAGTAGAGAGGTTCTCCACTCTCTCGAAGAAGGTTGCTGCTCTACTCATGACTTTCCTACAAACCTACATAAAGGGCTAGGAGCCTCTAGAAAACACAGAGTCAGGCTTCCTTCAGGATTCTGCCCACACATTGGACCACCCAATTCACCTCATGAATTACTGTACTAAGGCCTCGTTTGGAAACAGGTTAATTTAGTAACTTTTTAACTATTTGGCTAAAATATGAGCTAAAAAAAACTAGTATATTTGGGATGACTTTTTGATTTTTTACGAAAAGATGTGCAAAAAGTAGAGAGAAAAGAGAATCTTTGACTTTTTTGTATGAGTCGTTGGCTTTTTGGCTAATTTAGTAACTTTTTGGTTTTTTGGCTAAAAAGTTCGGTTGCCAAACAAGGCCTAAAGGTCAAGCTAAGGTGTCTGCCATCTCAACAGTTTACTTGGTACATCTCAAGGGAAAGAAGTTGCCACCTAAACTTGTTCTGATGGTTGTTACGTCCAATAAAGCATGAAAATAATTCACTTCAGCTACCTCATAAAAATGCACTCCAATAAAGCAAGAAAATATTACTCAAGGAAGACCTTTGCTAGGGCAGGGTGATAATTAGAAAGGAGTTTGTAATTACACTAACATGAATTGTATCATTTAGGGGTTTGACAGTTTTCCATATACTATTGGTTTAAATAGGATATGGTATGATGAAAGGATTCAGTTACATGGTAACTACTAGCTGAAGTGTTCACTTCGTATATTCATGCTCTCTATAGTGGTCATAATATGTATTGGTTATGATTTATAGAATTCATGGTTTAGTTAGGAGTTCTAATTAATTATATAGCCTAGATAAGTGTGAACCTAAAAGGTCACATACAATAGGGCCAATGTATAATATGAAGGAATTAGAAGTTAAACCAAATTAATAGTTAATTAGGAAGGGTCTTATTGCAAGTAAGGGTTAATTGTGACAGTCTGTATTTGGACGACAAGATAGACTAATCCTTGTGGAATTAAATTACTTAGTTTTGTAAATAAGGAGTTCACATAAGAGCTAGCACTTTAATTGACTACCTCTCTTCTACACACTCTAGAAAACTTGTGAAGCTTGTGGTAGCTTTTGTGTTTGAGATTTGTTTTGTGTGGATACTTTTGGAGAGTACCTCCCAGTTGAGCACTGCAGCCGACAAGTGCTCACCGTCTTTGTGGTTGCAGGCAACTTTCGTGACACCAAAGTTTGTGTTCATGACCTTCACTTTAGTATGGTTAAAATTGAACCCACAGTAGTATTTATCCCAACTATGTCTATAGATGGTTGATTGATGTTTGGATACATCACAAACATGATCATGTGTACAGGAATTGAAATAAATTTTTTATTTTATTTTTTTAATTTTAAAATTCCACTGTGTATTCGGCTCCTTTTAGATACAACCAGAGACTTTATAGGAATAACGAACATAAACATATGCATCATATTTCATGGTAGCCTGCTTGGAAGTGCTTTATGACTAAACTAAGGCCTTGACAACTTCTTGATAAAGGGTTTTGAACAAGACAAAACAACTGGAAAAGCACCTCAAGTTTCAGTTAACTGACTACACAATGTTTAATGTCAGTGTAAAAAATTATAATGATCCATGTCATACGCTTTCATACATAAAAGGGTAGCCCAATGCACGAGCCTCCCGCCACTGCAGGGTTTGGGAAAGGCCAAATATACACAATCTTACCCCGCCGCATAGGAAGAGCCTCTTTCCGTATTTCAACCCATGTCACCCAAGTCATACATCCATAAGTAAATATTTTGAAAGATTTAACGTCCTGTGTTAAAAACATAAGATAACCAACCTTTGTTTCTAATTCTTCAGACTTTGTTTGAACGACCACTTTAACAAGATCTTGTATTAGAAGATGAAAGCTCTGAAAATGGGAAGGAAAATTCAATAAAGGAGGAAACAACAGTGATTGAGCTACTATGATAGAGTTTTACGGACAAACGGTATAAAGAATATTTTGAAAACTGAGATGCCATGCCATCTACAATGGACTATTAAGCATAAAAACGAAAAAAGCAGTACAATATAAAGTTACTCAAGTAATGCATAACAATTTTCTATTTACAGTAGACTGCAAAACAAAGGGAACTGTAGAATGGAGCTATGCATAGTAAATCCAACTCACAGTGGAGTCGAATGATTCACCAGAGTTTTTATTAGCACCATCCCTCTCACTATCAGAGGCAAACGTAAATGGTGACCAAGCCTGACATGCAATAGAGAGTAGTAAGGTCTATCACAAATGACATAAAAGCTACAAGTAATGATGAGTAGTATAGCTCAGATTATTGTAACACAAAATCAAAACGTGATACCTCTTCGACCACAACTAATTCAGGAGCATTGCTAGGTGAAGGTAATTTTGATAATTCCACTTTGGATGTATACACGCGAGGGTAACGCTACATTAAACGGACAAAAACCGAAAAATAATGGTGTTAAAATATTTGAGCATGTAAACATGAAAAAAATCTGCAGAGAAACAGAAAAGGGTTATCATCAAATACCTTATCTAGCTCATTTAGAAGCTGATAACTTGACATTATCAGTTCTAATGAATTCTCTTCCTTCAAGATCTGGAAAATTGCCTCAAACATTTTGCTGTTTGACCAATTTGCATAATCAGATACCCAAGAAAGATCACAAACAAAAAAAATAACAAACTAGGCCAGTTAAACTTGCATTTCCCATAGTGAAAGAAGCTTTCTATCATTTTTAAAAGCTACAAACTCAAAGAAAATGTGACCTCCCGCGTAATATAAATTTTCTCAATATAAATGATACCGTTACATTAATCTAAAGCTTCAATGAAAGGTCCAATATTTACATTGACTACACGGATACAAATATTAATTACTTTCAGGCCTCAGGTTGAGTTGCTGAGTAAACTGTCAAGGAGGTACGTAGTTCAGAGTTTTAGCGCTCCCCCCCCCCCCCCCCCCAACACACACACACACACACACACACACAAAAAGAAATCAATTTTTACTGCAGAACTGATAATCAAAGACGAAAATTGTCACCATCAATCTAGATATTGAAACTATCCAAGATCTGCACCACAGAGTGCTAACAAGGAAGGAGTTCATTAGAGCAGTGTTTAGATCACGGGTTTGGGTAGTGATTTGGAAAAAAAAAACGAAAAAGGTAGACAAATCATATGAAGCATGGATACTTCAAATAGGGAGACGTATCCGTATCGATTCCGTATCGGATACCGATACTCCTTGGATAACTACGAATACGTATCAGATACTTATTAAAAATATCGGATACTTCTTAATTAATTTTTCATTAATTTTGAAGTATCGGATACTTAGTTTTGAAGTATCGGATGCTCCAAGTCACATATTATTAGATACTTCTTAATTAATTTTGAAGTATCAAATGCTCCAAGTCATGTATTACTCTTTTTACGAAATTAGAATTGTATCATTTATTGCATAACATCATAATATAATATAATTGTAAGGATAAATAGAATATTTTTACAATACTTTGCTTAGTTTTTTTTTTTTTATAAAAATAACATAGTAAGCTAAAGTAATAAAATTCATCAAATTGACATATCTTCATGGTATCATGCATGTCTCCTATAACTACATAGAAATAAGGATTAATAAGATAATATAATAACAGTAAAATTAAATATCAATAAATAAATAAGCAAATAAATTTGCATAAAATATTTTTGACTAGTGCAAAAGGAAAAAACATGGGATCAAGTTGTGAATTATTTTGATATTATAATATCAACATATTATACTTGATATTGAAATGAAATATTTGCGAGACCTATTGAAAATTTAAAAACTAAACTAATTACTGGCTTAAATTAATATCTAATTCTTAAAGATTAGTATTTTGCATTATAAAGTTACTATGGTTTCTCAACATTCTTGACCTTATGTGTAACTCACTGTTAATAATTTATTTATTTTTTATTTTTTACAAACGTATCCTAACCGTAACCGTACCCGTATCCTACTTTTTTAGATTTTGTCGTATCGTCGTATCCGTATCGTATCGTATCGGTACCTCGTATCCGTATCCGTGCTTTCCAAAACAAATGTGAATGAAATATAAACTAAAGTTTTTCTCCATTTCCATTTCCCTTTTCCTTTCCAAAGTCTTACCCAAATCCATGATCCAAACACAACTTAAGGGTTTCAAGTTACTCCATATTTTTTAAGATCACATCCAACTTAGGCTATGTTTGGATCACGGATTTAGATAAGGTACATTTCATTCACATTTCACATACCTTTTCTATTTCTCTTCTCAATTTCCTACATCCAATCACATACATAATAAATTCTACAAAACATCAAGTGTTTTGGACGACCAAATTTAAGTATTCTAAGAATCTTAGGTTTGTAATTTTTAAAAAGAGTACTAATTTTTCAAAAATTATTATTTTACTTGTTTATATCAAATTTGTAAGTGTTCTCTATCTGTTTTTTCAAATGAGTTTGTGATGTATAGTCATCCTTTTTAATAAAGAAAAAAAAATCAGTACTTTTTTTGAATTTACACACGATGCCGCTAGTACTTAATAAATCCTACAAAACATCAACTGTTTTGGACAGCCAAATTCAAGTTTCAGCAATGTTTAGAATCAGAACAAATTAGGGATCGAAACAAATTGGCCATATAAAAGCCCTATTTGGTAAAATTGTGGGAAAGTGCTTATAGCTTATGCCTAAACAGCTTATAGCTTATAACTATGAACAGAAGCTGATTTCTGACTTATAAATTAAGCATCCCCTGCCCCACTCAAAGAATAAGCTGATTTGTGACTTCCAAAAAGATATAAGCTATAAGTTATAAGCTAAACCAAACATATCAAAATAGCTTAAATTAAGCTGAAAGCTGAAATAAGCTGCTTTTAAGTTCTGCCAAACAGGCACAAAGGAGTACTGATTGTTTTAGGGCAAAAACTGGAGGGAACCAACAGTGAGTTTTGTCTTGGCTTTGCAAATATTGGAAACTATCAACAATCAATTTATATGAGTAGAGAGAGAGAAATACTAGGTTGGGGCGATTCCATTATCTGGAACCAGAGAAGCAGAGCGAACAGCTTCGAGAAATGTAATCCCTATACAAAAAAAAAAAAAAAAAAAAAAACAAAAAAGATTGAGAAACTGATCAAAGAGATATGAATTTGTGAGTATATATATATACGTAACTGTCGTCACTGAGGTCTTGGGTGGCTTTTACGAATCCAGAGGCGTCGAGGATGGCCATGGTGTTGACTTCGATTCCTCTGCTTCGTATTCTACGGTTCTCCATTTTCGTATTCCAAAAACCCTAAACCCTACTTCCTCTCTCTTCTCTCAGATCATAATGCTTTCTTTGTTTCATATATATCTGTATCTATGTGTAATTGTATAATAATAAAGTACACATGGGTCTTCTTTTCGCGCCAAAATTAGGGGAGGCTTCTCGCCCCTGGGATTATAAATGAACAAAATCGTTCGTAAGCAGGTTCAAACTCAGTTTGAATTGTTAATTTTTTTTTATATTTGAACTCGAGCTTACACTAATTAAATTTTTAATAAACAAGTTCAAGTCCAGCTCATTAATTGGCTTGTTTATTATTTATTATTTATATATTAAATAATATAAAAATATGTATAATAAATAAAAGAAATATGCTATTTATATATTTAAAAAATATAAACATAAATAATAGTTAACTATAGATAGTACATTTATATAATAGTGGTAGTAGATATTATTATTTTAATAAAATATGAATTTTTTTTAGTATGCTTATATATATTGTATATATAATTGTATAATCAAAATTTTAATCGTAACTTTAGTTTCACATGCATGTATGAATTTATAAATTTTTTTGCTTATAAAGGCTCGTGAACAGACTCGAGCTCGAGTCGAGTCTAAGCCAACTCAACTCAAGTTCGGTTCATTAAATTTTTATTCAGTTCGAACTCGAGCTCGTGAAAATCTTAATAAACAAGTACAAACATGCTAAAGCTTAGCTCAGTTCGATTTGACTCGTTTGCAACCCTAGCCATTAAAAAGTTTTACCAAAATACAAAAATAAGTATTAAAAAAAAATCAACATATACGCCAAAGGAGATAAGTCTCATTTGAGAACAAAAAATTTTAGTAATTTTTTAAATTTTTAATTAAAATATGATATAAAAAATTAATATATTTTAGATGACATTTTAATTTTTTAAGAAATGATGTGCAAAAAGTAAAGAAAAAAGAGAATTTTTTACTTTTTTATATAAGTTGTTGGCTTTGATATGTTTAGTAACTTTTTGACTTTTAAACTAAAAAGTAATATTGCCACATGAGACCTTAATCCCACTAAACTAATAATTCAAATTGTCTATTCTAAATTTTGTAATAAAAATTACCTATATAAAAAATAAGTTTTATCAAAAAAATTATAAATATTAAACAGAAGGAAATGATTTTAATGGGATAGAAACCTAAACAAATTTTAAATTTTATTTATTTATTTATTTTTATGTTATTACAATGATGCCTAATTAATTACAATTGTAATGAAAATAAAACACAACATATAATAAATACAAATAAACTCTCCAAATTAGAATATAAAGTAAACAATTCATATTATTGTACAAGTCCAAATTAAGACCTAAAAAAAAAAAAGAGGAGGAGGTTACAGAGTGATATAAAAAGAGGAAGATAGGGAAGCTTATCCCAAAAATCAGAGCACCAGTTTTGCCTGTGTTTTTTCCTCTGATTTCTACTGGTCTGTCGTATAAACACCGTCACCGGGGGTGGAAAATAATTGAAAAACAAAAAAACAAAAAGGAGAAATTCCGTTGCCGGGACTTGAACCCGGGTCTCTCGGGTGAGAGCCGAGTATCCTAACCAACTAGACTACAACGGAATACATTATCAACGTCCAAATTGTTTTCTAATAAATCTTGGTTTGGATATAAACAGAAAAATATTAAAAATGAGAATAAAATATAAGTCAATTTTTTTTTTTGGAAAATAACATATACCCCTCGAGGTTTAGCAAAATTACAAATGCCCCCATGAAGTTTGAGAAATTACAGACACCCCCCTAAAGGTACTATTTGCATAATAAATTAGGGGGCAAATTGTTATGTAAATATAAACCTCAGGGGGGTATCTGTAATTTTCGAAACCTCAAAGGGATATCTGTAATTTAACTAAATCTCAAGGGAGGTATATGTAATTTGCCTTTTTTTTTTTTTTTTTATCATTTTTCATTTCGTTTCTAAATTCATGATTCAAGCATGAATTTAAATTGGTTGGATATATCTAAAGCTTGCTTCTTCAGTTTCAGCTCATGTTGAAATGGTTAAGTCCATCAGACCTCTTATAAATGTGTGTGAAGTTGTGATGTCATGTGTTCAAAGTTACAACTCAAACATATTGAACTGTATCTTTGAGTTACTACTCACTAAATCATGTTGCAACTTCATGCACATCTTATAGTAGTAAGAGGAAGTCCATGCGCATATGTATCATGCGTACCTTTTGAAAGTGTGTATCGTAGATTTTGAGATTTTGACTAAATAATAGGTAGATTTTGATTAAATTGTATGGTAACAAAATGAGTTAAATTTGATGTGAATATGTATAGTTTAGGAATGAATTCATTTAATTTTATATAGTACAAGGTGGAGCAGAAGAATTAGAGAATTATTTTTCTTTGATAATCGAGGTGCAAAACATAGATAAAATTACTCATATAATAGTTTAGGAACTCCATCTTATAAATATGGGTAATTTATTTTGCAACATTGAATCATAGATAATTAGACCTCCGCCCTCATTTGCAAAAATATCTGCATACATATTTGCTTCTCGATACATATGTTTCTTTGTTGTCACAAAGAACAGGGTCATAAGGTGCTTAAAAAATGATGTTGCTAGCTAAGATGATGGTTATATATTCTTTTTCTCCCATGACAAGTTACTGCAATGACAAAGCATTAGTTTTCAGAGTCAAGTTTGTAATGTTAAGATTGAGTGCTAATTGTAAATCGTACCAAAATGTTTAAAATTTTGCAGTAATTATTAGATGTGATAGTAATCCCTAATGATAACAAAGGCAATGAGTGTCTTTACAGATTGTGATTGATGAAAAGTGTAAGATAAATTGATAGAGAAAGAGAGAGAATAAATTATGTATATATTGATGTATTGAATGTTATATTGAGTGTTCTTACAAGAGGAATGCACTCTCTTTTATAGAGAGAATTTGAGCATTGGATGCCCACTGACAGTGTGATGCATTGTACATTATAAAATATAAAGCTAAAGCTATACACTAACATGATATAAAGCTAAAGCTATACACTAACAGACATAATCATACACTAGCATGCTAAAGCTAATCATACACTAACAGCCCCCCTCAAACTCAAGGAGGATAGGTACTAGCCAACTTGAGTTTGGAGAGAGTAACAAAACAGGAAAATAGGATAGAAGACACTGTATGGTCGTGTCGAACCGTTGGTGAAGACACTGTATGGTTGTGTCAGACTGTTGTAGGAGCTAACCGGAATCAATGTCGGGACAGTTTACGGGGTCATGTCGGACCATTGTAGAAGCTGACCGAAATCAATATCGGGACAGTTTACGGGGTCATGTCGGACCGATGTAAAAGCTGACACTGTGTGGTCGTGGCAGACCGTGGGAGCCCAAAAGATAGAGATATATAGATATATATATCGCACCCTCAAAAATCGTGCCCAATCTATCAAAAGGTGTGCCATCAAAAGGCGTGCCCAATCCATAAAAAGGCGTGCCGGACATGATGGCGAGGCGCGTGACTACCTTGGCTTGCGCGCCTGTTTTGTCGTCTGGCGTCAAGTGGCGCGCGATGCGCGTATCGGCCCTGGCTATTTAAACCAAGGTTGGAGGCTGAGGCTGAGGCTAAGGCTGAGGCAAAACCTGCTAAAAAACCTCTGAAAAACTCTTCGGTTGCTGAGAGAGATACTCTGTAACACTCTGTTGCCCAGAAAATGGCCTCTTCTTCCCGTGGTCTGCTCACCCTCTTTCCCGATCTCAACGAGTCCACAAGAGAGATAACTGGTGCGGTGGCCCGTGAACCTCAACCGAACACCACTGGTTTTGCTCCGTTGAACTTTCCGATGCGGTCTGTGGAGCAAAAAATGGCGGTGCAAACTGATATTGAGGCCAATCAGTATACTTTGAAGTCATGTGTGGATTTTCCCTTTCCACCTACGACCACTTTCCGTCATGAATCGTACACTTCCACAAACCTCCCACCGTGAACCACCCAATTTTGAGGTTGACTGTGGAGGCCTAAGATGGAAGGGGATGAGCTCGGAGTGGTGGTGGTGGCAGCGATGGAGAGTAGCAGTAATGGTGGGAAAGGAGTAGTGGGTGGAAAGAAGAAAATTTAGGGTTTTGAAATTGAAGATGAGGGTATTATTGGGTTTGTTTTTTTGTTTTTTTTTTTTTTTTTTTGTTGTTGTTGTTGTGTAAAATTGTGATCGGGATTGATCCCCGGCATGAAAAAATGACAAGTGTGTGGAATGAAAATCGAGTGGGTTGTGAATGGATTTTTGTTTTTGTTTTTGTTTTTTTTTTATTGTGAAAAGTAAGGGAATCGAATAAAAAAAATATGGTAATGGTGATGAAATGATAAGCATGGTGATGATGAATATATAATGATGAATAAAAATAATAAAGGAGGGAGTGGGGAACAGGGCGAATTGAGAGCACCAATTAAGCTTTATAATAAAAAATAAAGTTTGGGTGGTGGATGGGTGTGATTAAAGAAATTAGAAGTTAGAATAATGAAAAGAAAGGTTGGGCGGTGTGATTAAAAAAAAAAAAGAAAAGAAAGGAGGATAGGAGATAGGAAAGTGCATGTTGCAGAAACAAACGATTGTCGTGAGGTTTGGGCTGGGCCTTTGACCAGACAAAGACTGGCTGTTGCTCTTGGGAATCGATGTTCAAAAGCTGCAAAGGTGAACTCGAGTTATGAAAAAGCTTTGCTTCAAGAGGTGGATGATGATGAAGCAGATTCAGCAGCGGTGGCCATGTGCCCAACAAAGTGGGATGGAAGCTTGACCAAGGGAGCTTATAATAATCCATGTGTGTGTGTTGGGGTGAAGTGTATGAAGCTTTGTGAGAGATAGAGAGAGAGGTTGATGCCGAGAGTGAGAGAGAGCTGTGGGTCTCCTTGGGTTGATGCCAGGAGAGTGTAAAAGAAATTGAGAGAGAGATGTGAAATTGTGTGTTGCTCTGTGGTCATGCATGGTGACCGAGAGAGAGTTGATGAGGGCATGGTTTGATCAAGCCTCCCATGGCTGAAGGGGAGTGAGACTGAAACCGGCGGAGCGGACACCACAGGAGGTGTGGCCGGAGATTGACCTCCAACGACGGCGCCTGGAGGCCACGGGCTGTGAGCAAGCAGCGGTACAGTAACCAAGTCGAAAACACCAAAAATAGCCGACTTGAGAGTGAGTGAGCGAGAGA